TAGGTTTTCGAGAAGTAACTCCCCCAGAGGATTGGCAAGCCAATAGCTCACGTAAGAAGCCGAGCTTTGAAAAGTCAAAACCGATGAAAGTGTTCCTTTTCGAAAAGCTGAGCCAGAAAGTTGTCGACTTTGAGTCTTCATTTCAAGAGTGTGATCGATTGTTGCAAGAAGGCCACCAGATGTTGATCATTTTGGAGCTTTGTACGAATGTAGGATCCGGATTCGCGCCAGCCCATGGCCGAAAGATCAGAGGGTTTAGCGTGTTTGTGATCCAGTGCACTAGGGAACACGACCTAGTTCGAAGCACCGATATTTTGATCAACGGCATTGAACAATTGAGAAACCGAGGGTGTAAAATTTACACTCATTTTTCACCACCGTGCACGGGCGGCTCGCCCATGCAGTATTTGCAGAAGGATAAGATCGATGAACGTTTGGCAAAGTACTGGAAAGACTTCGTGAAGTTGTTGGGAAGCGCTGATCGAATATTCCGGGAGTCGCACACTTGCTCAGTGGAACTCAGCAGAGCATGTCGGTATTGGAAGACAATACAAATGCATAAGTTCTTGACTAAACATAATCTACAAGTGTGCACATACTACCACAGATGTTCATATCAAGATGAAGAACAATCACGACCAGTTGCGAAACATACCTATAGATTTCAGTTCCAAGACCCAATTATAGCAGGAAGATATTGTCAATGTATCCAGCATAAGCCTTTATTTGACCAGGACTTAGAAAAGGAGGGACGGTACCCTAAAGCAATGATCTTGGAGATCACATATCAAATAGCTCGTATATTCGCTAGCTATAAGTGACCACCTGGACGGTAGGATTTCTATGATGATGGAGATCATGGAAGCTCTCACGAGCGTGTGGTTTCTGATGGCCGACAATGGCCTTGTTGGCGGGTTGGTGACGATGCTCATTGGAGCAGTGACGATGTGGATCTTCATGAAGAGTCGCGAAGACTTGGCAGTTGTGGAGACAAAGGTGACGATGACGACAGGAACGCAGACCGCTCGATGTGAAATCACCACATCTACGACATCGGCAGTGAGCTTTCCCGAACGTATCGTGACGACCCAGACAGGTTCTTGCCACCATGTTCCCACATGTGGCCATGTTCGAAGTAAGCCGACTTCGACCTATAGGAGATGCCTTGATTGTCTTGGTCGATGATCATGTGTAGATGGAGTTGATCTTCCGGAGCGAAGATCGATCGATATAAGCTTCCGAAGAGAAGATACATTGTATTCATTTGCACGTGTGGAGATTTGGTCACCGGGGGGTGTGGAAATATCAAACCCACTATACTGTATGCAATCATACTGTAATCTTGAGGTGTTGACATTTCCTTGAACTCTTGTGAAACAATTGTTCTCTAGAGATAGCATCAAAGCAGTGACCAATTCTCCACGAGGAATTGAAAAGGGCGTGGTAGAGCACCCGAAATGGATAGCGTCCGACAACCCCAAATATGTGAATCCGAACTCGTTTCTTGAGAGCAGTTTCTTGAAATCAAGACTTACGAAGTGAACGTCCCAAGTGCCCTCCTCAGTCTTGCTGAATGCAGAACAGTGCATTTTGAATCATGACCGCACACTGGTGCGATTGAACCGTGTGTATGCAGAAGAACTTCTGAACACATTTCTTGTCAACAGGGCTTGCACGTTGAACAACAGTGATTGCCACCTTCAGCCCTGTTGAGTGCACATCCAACCCTGTGAGTGCACACTAGAGCTCGAGAGCAAACCATATGCCAGTGGCCGAAAGCAAAGCATGTTCCAGAAACATTTCTTAGCAACAGGACTTGCCAGTCGAACATTCCCAGTTGCACAGCCCAGTCCTGTTGCGTGCGCATCCGTGCAAAGGAGGAGATAAGTAGATGTACAGACACAGCCGTGTCAGGACTCGTGGTGGTGAAGCCAATCTTCTTTGCACTTAGGTCATGCAGACACGTTGGTAACAGTGCGTGTGAGCACACCTTGACGGAGTGTACTTGAAGATGACCAGTTTTGTGGTCAGCAGGTTCTAGCAACCGTAATGATCCCTGATGTCCGTGAACCGTTTGACCTTACAGGATCTCAGTGATCCGGTGTGACCTTGGAGGATCTCAGTGATCCTGTGTGCCCTTGGAGGATCTCAGTGATCCTGTATGAGCAGATCATAGTGATCTGGCTGGACCAGCCCTTTGTGCACAGGAGTCCATAGTGATTGGGTGTTCTTGTGGTTGGCAGTTTTTTGCATGGTCAGGCTGACCGGGGAATAGTGTCGCTGCCAAAAGTGAGCTGCACAACTCATCCAAATCTGTTTGCAGTTTGTATGAGGTTGTCACTTGCGAGGTTGACGATACCTTTCGGTTTTCTAGATGTGCTTCATCTGTACCCGACAGACTTCGCACTTTGTGAGTTGGGAGACTCTTGAGGGTGAACCCCTGTTGCAGATGAGAACCTAGCATTGATTGCAGGTAGCGCGTGGTGTTAGAGATCTTTGTACGGAGTACAAGTTTGAGGACCCACGCCTCCGGAATTTGCAGTGAGAGTTGCTGAAGGGCATCCTACGTGTACAGAAATAAGCAGTGATGCGCACCGACGCATTTGGCTCAAGGAGAGAAAACGAAGAAATATATTAATCACATCAATTATAAGTGCGGAAGATTTTTGTTCTTGAGGTCGAATCAAGGATTCGACAGTGCTTTTGATTTGCAAAAGTTTCGTGCACTTTAGTTCGGTGTCGTTAATTGTTTCTCGCCGACGCAAGCACAGCTGTAGCGTTGTGCTGTAGCGTTCGTAGTTTAGGGTTTAGGGTTTAGGGTTTGTACCGAGGGCGCGGCCGGAGGTTCATTTCGTCGTTTGTCTTCGTCGCCGCTTGGGCACGAGTACCGTGGCACTAGTTTCCGGGGGTTGTGTTCCGCATCCTTCATTTTTCCCACCCGCGCCGCTTGTGGGCGGCTCCCACCCGGCGTTCGCTCCGCCTTTTAGGGTTTAGTTCCTAAACTAGGAACTACAAACATGTGCCATCTCTCTTCTTCCGATCTCTTTTTTCACAATTAAAGATGCGAAGACGAAGCAGCTTCTAGCCTAACCCTAAAAACTTTTAAATGCAGACCTCAAACCTTGTGGGAACCTTGGAGCAAAGCTGTGGGAACCTTTGGACAACCTTGGAGCAAAGCTGTGGGAACCTTGGAGCAAAGTTGTGGGAACGTTGTGGAACAAAGCGGTGGGAACCTTGTGGGAGCCTTGTGCTTGGGAACCTTGGGGGAACCTTGTGGGAACCTTGTGCTTGGGAACCTGAACCTTGTGGGGCAAAGTTGTGTGGACCTTGTGGGAACCTTGGAGCAAAGCTGTGGGAACCTTTGGGCAACCTTGGAGCAAAGCTGTGGGAACCTTGGAGCAAAGTTG